GAAGTGGTGATAGCGGGCATCCTTGTCTAGTTCCTGTTCTCAAGAGGAATGGTTTCAGTCTCTCTCCATTGAGGGTAATATTGGCTGTGGGTTTTGCATAAATGCCTTTTATTATGTTGAGGAATGTCCCTTCTATTCCTATTTTGCTGAGCCACACACATTTTAATGTATCTGAAATGGAGGTGCTGTTACAAGCAACAATGTGTCCTGATTTAATTTTTTCATTTCCTAATAGTACCTAAAATAATAGAAAATCCTAAATGATCAGTACCATCTTAGGCTTGATGAAATATAGTATCATTACCCTGTGTTTTCCACACCACTCCTCTGAATCCTCTAATGGCAGGACCATGAGCTTGGTCCCTCTGTAGCCTCAGGGCTCAGCCCTCAGAACTCCTGCCCAGCTAGGTGTTCATTAGCTAGTTACTGCGGTTTTCAGGCTCCCAGAAACTGACTCATGCCACTCAGGTTCCAAAAAGGTTTCTTATTCATGACATTTATATGAATTATGAATTTAAAAATATAGTTTTACTTGGTTGAGAGATAAAATTCAAGCATCTCGACAGAGTATTACGTGCCGATGGACAAGTCTAGTCAGGAAACCACACTGTGGAGCAGATACACTATGGTGAGGGTAGGGCACAGAGTTGGTGACTCTTCAAGTGATATTTCTGCCAGGTAGAGACCTTCCTGCCCTGTAGAGACTAGGGACCAGACTTCCAGGGTGGGAGGACCTTTCCTTGGAAATAATTGGACAAACATTAAAATATTTTGATCTTCAAAATCACATCATCACTAACATAAAACAACATCATTTCTTATCAGGGAAAATAAGAAAACAATTGAGTAAGTAACAGATATTTTTTTTGTTATAGCATTTCTTCCGTTGTTGTTGTTAGGTACTGTTGAGTCCTTTCTGACTCATGGTGACTCAGTACACAACTGAAGGAAACGCTGCCCAGTCCTGTGCCATCCCCTAGTTATTGCTGTGGTTGAGCCCATTGTAGCCACTGTGTCATTCCATCTCCTTGAAGGTCTTCCTCTTTTTTGCTGACCCTCTGTTTCACCAAGCATAATGTCATTTTCCAGGGACTGGTCTGTCCTGATGTCTAAAGCATGGGAGACAAAACTTTCACCATCCTCCCTTCTAAGGAGCATCATAGCTGTACTTCTTCCAAGACAGATTTGTTCATTCTTTTGGAAATCCATGGTATTTTCAGTATTCTTCACAAACACAATTCAAATGCATCAATTCTCTGCAGTGTTCCTTAGTCATTGTGCAGCTTTCACATGGGTTTGAAACTATTGAAAATACCATGGCTTGGGTCAGGTGCACTTTAGTGTTCAAAGTGATCCATGCCCTACAACACTTTAAAAAGTCTTTGCAGCAATTTACCCAGTGCAACACATAGTCTGATTTCTTGACTGCTGCTTCCATATGTGTTGATTGTTGTTGTTGTTGTTGTTAAGTGCCGTCGAGTCGTTTCCGACTCATAGCGACCCCATGCACAGCAGAACGAAACACCGCCTGATCCTGCGTCAGCCCCACAATCCCTGCTATACTTGAGCCCATCATTGCGGCCACCATATCAATCCATCTCGTTGAAGGCCTCCCCCTCTTTCGCTGACCCTCCACCCT